TTTATTTCATAATTGTACATTCAAAAAAACTAAAAGAAAGCAAACCTCACAGTATTTGATTAAAACCAGGTTACCTGAATAGCCAAATATTTGCGCAATGAAAATATATGTTTCAGCTCTTTTTCCTCATATTTTTCTTGAAAATAAACTAAAATTTTTTAACATTAAATGTCGCTTTAACTTTTTAATACAACAATATAAAACAGTGGCATTAATTATACAATGTTTGTGTGTTCACCTACCTATTTGCATTTCCCTGTTTATGTGTTGAACTATTATTTTACCAATTTTTTAAAACTATTCTTGTTTTCTTCTAATACTAGGCATAATATTTGAACAAATAATATGGAAATACCAAGATTACGTGCGTCACATGTACACTTCTACATATAGCAGACGAGATGTTTATTAATAGAAAAACTGGTGTTATATTTATTTTAAGGGCACACTTGATAAAACAAAAGCCAAAATGGTGTTAATCTGAAAGATTAAACTTAAAATAAAGTCAATATTCTCGTTTTTTAAGATTTTAAACTGCCCTGAGGTTTGTTTGTTTTCTTCCGCTCTCCAATGAAGATACCTTGTAATCCAAAGGAAAACCTTTAAACGTTAAATGTCAAAATTAGACATTGATCTTATCTGTATTTTTTTTAAACCAAAACTTTTAAAATTAATAAAACTAAAAGAAAACTGATACTGAATATTTAGTGAAACATGATTTTAATCATTAAGAAATGAAACAAAATCAAACGATTAATTACAGCTTATTAAATTAACTTGCTAAAAAAAACTAAAATCTGATATAATGTTTACGGTATATTAAAATATCTTTAGAATGTTGTATGTTTTTTACTGCCAAAACTGACAATAACCTTTAAGACAAGATATACGTGTCATTTGATTCTTCTTTTCTCAGTTTAATATTCTCATTAATAAAAGGAATTTTTAAATTTTATGTCATCTGATGATTATCGACAAAAAATCGCGTCTTTTTTTTATACATTCGAGTTTGGCTTTCATATTAATTTATAAACAAAGCATCTTTAATCTAATATTTCAGAAACGAAATTTTACATCTCAGTCGATTACCTACTAGTAGATGGCACTGGCATTTTCAAACGTTTATAAATATCCATAAATCTTCATTGGCTCGCCTTTTGTTGGCTCAGTAATATGTTTAAGTGATTATAAGGTATAAATTAGGCTTCGATACCCGCAGTGGGAAAAACACAGATAGCCCATTGTGTAACTTTGTGCCTATCAAAAAATAAACAAACGAAACCTTGACTGAGAGCAATTGTGAGACGCCTACGCAAAATGTTCATAAACACATTTTATAAGAAACAAACACTCTAGGATCAAACATTATTCAAGTAATTTTCTACAATGAAAAAATGAAAGGACAAAATTGTTTAGTGAGCCGAAAAAATAGTTTATAAGAAACATCTCTGCTACTTTAACATTCATAACTACTGGCATCATAACCTCTATTTTAACATCTATTACTGTCATGTCATAACCTCTACTCTAACATCTATAACCTCTGGAATTATATCAGTTACTTTAAGATCTGTTACTGTCGGTCTTAAACTATGACCATTCTGCCTGGTAATTTACAAGAGCATTAGGAAAAAGAAAGTCAGTCCCCTGAAAATTGAAAGAAATAACTTTATATGAGCTTCTATGGGTATTTGACGATCATATCTGTTTATAAAGGACTCTTATCTAAAAGTATAGATAGAAGTTGCCCTTATAAAAGGTGACTATTTTCTCCTATTAAAATCTAAACTTAACGATACCTTATGCACACGTTAGCAAAATGTCAAGTCAACATTACTGACGCAAAGCGAACTGAACCATAAGGGCATGCGAGATCTAGTTGAGTTACCAACCTTCATCTTCACTAGTCAACGGCTCCGTACTAAATTTAGAAATATAAAATTTGTTTGATTCAGCATTGATGGGTTGTATTTTCCCTCTATAATGCATAGTACTATCTACACCTACCCTCTAGTTTACGCATTTGAAGACGTCGTCCACACTTCTTTACTCCAATTTCATTTTTGTATAGTTTGATGAAGTTTAAAAAGCTTCCTCTCACACACATTACTATTTTGATTATATGGATTGTTTTATAGTGAAGCACAAAGCTACACAAAGAACTATCTCTGCTCTGCCCACCACGAGTGTCAAAACCTAGTTTCTTGCTTTGTAAGTCCGCAGACATACCGCTGTATCACTGGGGAGCTTAATCATATAGAAAATTCCCATTTCGTCATTTTGAAATAGATTTTAACCGACTATATAAAAGTCCTTTACTTTACCCATTTGCCAATTTGTTAAACAATATATTACACGTCTTCTGTCCTCCAATGGAACACAGGTAACGGACTTACAACGGGATTCGATTCCTCGTGGTGGACACAGCAGATAATCCAGTGTATAGGTTTGCTCTAAAACAAACATACATACTTTTTAATATCAGTAACATGCATAAAACAACCAACTTCTCCAGAATATTTATGGGGTTTTTGAGAACAAGTCTTGGTTTGGCGAACCACAGAATGCATTATTCCTCTACATCATAAATTATATTTTCTATTTTTAGCTTTGGTGAAAATAAAATAAGTCTGTAATATAACTTCTGTAAAAGTTTCGTCTAAAGTGAAAATGAATTATTTTTATCATTTACAAAATATTTTCTGTACAATGATAGTTAGGCAGGACACCATTCGTCAAATAAACAAATAGTCGAGCGGCCGTATGCTACAAAGGGCTCTATTTGTGAATTTAATGGACCTGAAAAGCACGTGGCTGCATTTGGGCTCATCTGAAAGGAAATTCCTTCTCTTTTCAAATATGTATGCTGTAGAGCTGTGAAGTAATGCAAATATTGTCAAAATGTTGGTCAAAGTGACTCGCCCTCAAATCCAGCGATGTTTCGGGGGCATCTTGTTTGATCTATGCATGGCTCTCTAGACAATCGATAAAGTCACATTTGAATCGCAGTCTTAATTTACCAAATAGGGACAATGATGACAGACATGGTTAACTTTCATGGCGAAAATGCCATCTAGTCTACCGTCTCGTGAATAACATGCAATATAAAATCTCGAGAACAATGAACAGCCACTCTTGAGGGAAGACACTTGCAGGTTGGTCTTCGACTTTTCTTTCTTTCGGTGAAAATTAAAGATAATTATATAGTACAATTTCATATTTTTCTGACTTGTAAGTAAAATAAGATCATGTTTTTGTATGATATATTTGTGTATGACAACATTTAAGTGCATTTAGCTGTAATATGATGCCGATTTTTCAATGTCATCAAACCTTTCGGCAGTCATTTTTTTAACTGTCCGCCAAAGGTAACATGGGCCTTTTTCGCAATGGCTCCATCTCGAAACATATTCTTTAGGCCATGGTCTACAACTATACCAAATTTCATGTTTGTATGTATAAACCCACAATTCTTACATATATCTGCCTCACTGTCTCTTTTATATAATCACAACTTAGCAACTTGTGAGTTTATATATTTTTTCTTTCCTCTTAATGACGGTCTGCATTAGTAGCATGTCCATATAAATCATACATTTAAAGCAGCTGTAAGCATTCATAATACTAAAGATGTGGCCTATTGGCTAAATTGTTGGCTTGTTGATAGGAAGGTCCATGGTTTTGAGCTACATTATGCCCCTTTCAGCCTCCTAGAATCAGCGGTTCTATATTAAAAATGGCTATGCTTGAATTTTGGGATCTCTGACCTGGCCGTTTAGCCTATTGTCGCATATGGTGCCAATTAATTTAGATACCAAATAGCATACATTTAAGTATTATGATGGCACTCACAAAGCTAATGCCACATCTATCCTACATGTATGAGTTGTCTTGAGAAGCAATGTCTAGTTGCCCACATCTTCAAAACCATTAGTATAAGTTGATTGGTTGTAACTGTCACGTGCTAAAAAGCAAAAACATTCGAACAAAATAAATGAGTTAATTCCATTATTATAATCTGTGATAACACTTTTGTTCGATGTATTATTTAAAAACTCACTTTTTCCAAATAAGCAAACAATTGCAATTCTAATTTGACATACTCAAAAAATGCCTTCATAGATTTTAATTTTTTAATATCTTTAATTTTCTTAATAGATCAGAACCTAGTAAGTCTTTAGATTTCGCTTTGACTATTTTTTATACACAAAGTTGGTAAACATGTGGTGAACCGATACAGCCTATGGTAAAAGATTTATTAATAATTTCAGAATATTGTTTTGAGTTTCTTAATAAGTAGCTGGTTTGTTTATTTGCTTGTTATTAAGCACAAAGCTACACAATGATAATTTGTGCTCTGCCCACCGCTGGTATTGGAATCCAAATTTCATAGGGATTTTAAAGAGGCATTGAGTTTATAGACCTTTTTATATCCGTAAAGTCTGGAGAAGTAGAGTGGTGAAAAGATAATATTTGATATTGTGTTTATATAACGTTTCCCGGTTTTCTAGTTTTCCAAGTATTTGATTTAGTCGTCTTTGGTTGGAGGAAGGATGTTGGATCTTTTCATTTAGAAGATATTAGCTGTAATAAACTGAGAGATGTTTTTTTCATTATTCCTTGGTAGTTTCACCTAAAGGTACAGCCTCCATAATATCATAATGATCTTCTGTGTTTTTAAGGTTATTTAAGACTTTTGTTTTTCTACTGTAAGATTGCTTTTTATATTTCCTGTGTAAGATTCTAATGCGTGACGTGTTTTAGAACACAGGTCAGGTTTGTTGTTTTTTCGGATCTGAAAGTTTATTTGCCGTTTTTTGAGCAGCTGATATAGTTTCAAAATATTGAATTTTATTTGGCGTTGAAATGAAATTTAATTCAAGACTGTTTTTCACCTTTTTATGGGATATTACTGCTTAAGTTCAGCCCGTTTCAAATTTTTTCTTCCTGCAGAGTTTTACATTTAACTTTGATCAGAAGTTTGTCAAATTCTCTTCCTTTTCCTACATTTAACTTTAACATGACATATAACATAACGTTTTGGGACAATATGTGACGTATTGGTCCATCTTAGCTGTTCCATCCTCTAAACTAAATTAATATAATTAAAAATATCTCTTAAAGCCAGCCCTTATCATTCAATATTTCTGTATATACAACCAGATATCCTATTTGCCATACTACAAGCAACAGCACATTGCTTGGATGGCTTTTGAGACTGATCGACTACACCAAGATCCCTTTCCTTCATAACACCCTTATTTCCCATCACAATTATACTTATAATTCAAACTATGATAACCCACATGCATTATCTTGCATATATTATAATTAAAACCCATTTGCCATTTATTTGCCCAACTCATTAAATGATCTAAATCCTTTTGTAAATCAGCAGCATCCTCTTCACAGCTCGCAACATCTAAGACCTTAATATCATCTGGAAATTTAAGTAATTTATTGACTATTTCTTCATCTATGTCATTGATGTTATTCAAAAAGAGTAAGGGTTCTAAGTCTGAGCCCTGAGATATCCCACTTGTGACATTAATCCAGTTTGACTAAATTCCATTTGTTACAAACCTCTGTTTTCTTTCATCCAGCCACTCTTCTATTCAATTTGCTAACTTATCCTATGGAGATAATTGTTTTACAAGCCTCTTTTGTGGCACCTTGTCAAATGCTTTCTGAAAATCCAAATACACCAAATCTACAT